CGGTGCACTTTTGAGAGTTGTTGTCCGGAACAGTGGTGTACGCGTTAAGCAGTGACGCGAAGTAAGGAAAAGGAATTTTCATTACACTAGCCCCCCCCCTCCCCCTTAAGGAGGCCCTCCTTATGAAAGCGCATCTACATCCCGGAAATTTCGGCTGCGTAGGTACTCGGTGGGGACGGGGTAGTTCTCGATTCTATCCAGGGCAACCCTGTTGTCTTCTGTGGGCGTGCGGTCTTTTCAGCGGATCTGAAATTCGATTTGGCGGGCTCCACGTGGGTCATATACTCGGTGGCTCGGTATATTTTCGGGCGTGATGATTGGCTCTGTTGGCGGTCGTGTCATGCTGTTTGGGCGGTAGCGAGGCAGTTGGCTGGTGGATGGAACGCATTGTCAGAATCCCAACCACCAGACCATTGGGATAAAATGGCTTGTTTGTGTAGCGGGTTTGTGCGCCCATAACCCCCCAGGCGAACGCGCATATAAACCCCCTAGGACCAATCGGGCATCCTCAGTGCAGATCTACTGACACCCCCCCACACTGGGAGGCCCAGGACTGAGCATAGCGGCAACGACCTACATGTGCATACACCGGGATTCGAACTCGAGACCGCTCTGATACCATGTCAGAATCCCAACCACTAGACCATTGGGATAAAATGCCTTTTTTGTGTAGCGGGTTTGTGCGCCCATAACCCCCCAAGCGAACGCGCATGTAACCCCCTAGGATCAATCGGGCATCCACAGTGCAGATCTACTTACACGCATGGGCGGAGGAGGCTGACGTGGAATGACGGGCTAACGTACCAGTCAGCAGGGAGGAGGAGGTGGGCGGTGACGGGGGTGATCATGTGGCTGATGCGAAATGGCCCACAATAGCGGAGGCGGAGTTTTGGGGTGATTGGCAGGCAGAGGTTTTGGGTGTCGAGTAAAGTGAGGTCGTCGGGCTGGTAAATGATGGGTCGGCGGTGGCGGTCGGCGTTGCTTTTAGCGGTGACGTTTGATTTTTTTATTGCATATGCTGCTCAGGTCCGTGCTGCTTGTGAAATTTCTGCGAACTGTTGCGTATGTGGCACCGGGTTGTCGAGATTCGGGGTCATGGGTAGTGTAGGGTCTTGTCCGTAGTTCAGGTAAAATGGTGACTGCTGGGTCGTGGCGAATGGCGAGTTGTTGTATGCGAACTCTATGAGTGGCAATTGCTGTTCCCACGTGGTCGAGTCGCCGCACGTGGCTCGGATTAACTGTTCCATGGTCTGGTTTGTCCATTCTGTCTGTCCGTCGGTTTCGGGGTGGTATGATGAACTAAACTATAGTCGTGTGCCGAACTGCTGCCACATGTTCCGCCAGAAATTGCTGGTGAATTTCATGTCGCGGTCGATGATGATAACTTCTTGTATTCTGTGCAGTCGAACGACGGTGGCGATGAAGAGGCGGGCTGTTTCTTTGGCTGTGATTGATTTTTTGCAGGCTGCGAAATGTGCCATCTTCGTCAGCCGATCGACGACGACCAGGATCGCGTCATTCCCACTTGCTCCTGCCGGTAACCCCGTGACGAAGTCCATCGTCACCTGCTGCCAAGCACGCTCTGGGGGTGGTATCGGCTACAACTATCTTGCTGGTCGCTGTCGTGACGACTTCATGAGCTGGCAGGTTGGACACGATGCCACATGTCGTTGCACGTTGGTCAGCATCTCGGGCCAGTAATAATACCGCTGCAGCTGCTGCCATGTTTTTTCTACTCCGAAATGACCTGAGGTAACCCCGTCGTGTGCCTCCTGTAGTAACAACTCCCTTAGTAAAGTGTAGCTCGGTACCCAGATGCGATCGGTGCCGGCTTTTACATATTAAACCCCCTTTTTTGTTGCGAACTGTTGCGAATTTCCTCCAGTGAAAAACGGGTCTGTTTGGTAGCCGTGGGTAAATAGTCCTGTGAGCAGTCGGCTGGTCTGGGTGAGTAGTATGGCATGGATTTGGGCAGTGGGGCGGGTTAGTGCGTCGGCGATGTTTGATGGCCCGTTTTTGCAGGTGATCGTGTAGTGGAAATTCGACTCCAGGAAATCAAGCCAGCGAATCTGTTGTGGGTTGAGGTGGGGCTGTGCACGGAGGTACTATAGTGATTTGTGGTATGTCCGTACTGTCACGTCTGTGCCGGTCAAGTAGCAGCGCCAGACCTTGAATGCATGCACGATCGCGAGCATTTCGCGGTCGTGTATTGGGTAAATTTTCTCAGGCGGATGCAGTTTTCGTGACTCGTATGCGATGGGCTGTAAGCCGTTGCCGGAATCCTGTAGCAGTACGGCTCCGATGGCGATGCCGCTTGCCTCGGTAACTACTTTTGAATGGGCGGTGAGGGTCGGCAATGCGCAGGACGGGTGGTGAATAGAGAACATTTTCCAGGGCAGAGAAGGCAGCATGCTCTTTCTCCCCCCACTTAAAAGCGGCCCCCTTCCGCAGCAAATCCTTCAGTGGGGTAGTTAACCGTGACATGTTGGGGACGAACCGACGAACATAATTAACGAACCCTAAAAAACTCAGCAGCTCCGTGAGGTTTGTCGGGGGGTGCCACGCTTTCACCGTGTCCAGCTTGTTTGGGTCGATCTCAACTCCAGCCTCCGAAATGACGTGCCAAAAAAAACTCGCACTTGGAACCCTTGGTCAGTAGTCGGTAGTCGTCTAAAATCTTAAACACTACTTCCAGATATGCTAAGTGGTGTTGTTTGTCGCGACTGTAGACAAGGATCTTGTCAAGGTAAACTATCATGCATTTATCTATGAGCGGTCTAAACGCCTCGTTCATGGTCATCTGAAATGTCGCTGGTGCGTTGGTCAGCCCGAATGGCATCACGGTGTACTCAAAAGACCCGTACCTAGTCCTGAATGCTGTCTTGGCGCAATCCGATGGTTCTACCCTAATATGATGGTTACCTCCCCATAGATCAATTTTCGAAAAAAAACCGTGCTGTTTGTAGTTGATCTATCAGTTCGTCCGCACGTGGGATGGGGTATCGCAACTTGACTGTTACCCTGTTTAGTGCTTGGTAGTCGATACACATGCGAAACCCTCCATATTTTTTCGGTGTGAAAAGTATCGGTGCGTTGAACTGTGACGAGCTCGGTCGGATGATTTTTTTTTTTTTCTAACAGGTAATCTAACTGCTTCCTCAGTTCGTCGAGTTCGGGCTGTGTTAGTCTGAACTGTCGCTGTACGGTTTGTTTGTGTCCCCGGTTCTAATTTGATGCTGTGGTCGTGTGCTCGCTGAGGTGGCAACCCCTCTGGCTAATCGTCAAGAAAAATCCCCGGATACCGTTTCAGTAGTTCCTGTAGTTCGGGCGGTACGGTTGCCAGAAGTTTCTGAAAGTCGCTCGGTTGCTCTGCTTCTCCCACCAATGCGATATCCACCGCGTACACGTCAGCTCCAGCGGCGACAGCCCGTTTCATCGTGATGGCGTTGACGTGGTCCGTCGAAGACTCAGGTGACTGCCAGCGAGGTAATTCGACCCAGTTACTACTACTCGCACAATGCAAGCTACCCGTTGTCTAGTTGATTCGCTGATTGTAGCGTCGCAACCAATCATGTCCCAGTAAAATATCGTGCCCATCCAGCGTCGTCACGAGCATTTCGGGAAAAAACCGCTCGTATACTCTTGGACCGACCCAAGTTGTCGCCAAGTACGCAGCCTCTGACGCGCCGAAATAGAAGCCGCGATTGCCTCGAAGCGTGCCCGAAGCCCTGCGCACCACGCATCCCACATGCTGTACTGGGCGGTTTCGCAGAACGAACTCCATGTGACGGCTGGACACGTGGGCCCTTCCTCTTGCGACGACGGCTCGTAGGCGCGTGGCGACGTCACGATGACTCGCCACCAGTCCATGGTGGGGCCCCGTAGCAGCGAAATGGCGTGTCGTATCTTCGCTGCGTCCGACTCGACATAATTCACGTCGAAGAAGACGTTCGTCGTGAAGACCCACGATTGAACCGTCGAACCTCCACGTTGGCTAGGATCGAAGCAAAGCGAGCGCTGCGGTTTGAGCGGCATCGGTGCGATGATGTCGTTGTTGCCGATCGTCGTCGCAAATTCGACGTGACGACGGGCTTCGCAAGGCCCGCTCGTGCTTGGTGTGGCCCTGTTCCTCTCCATGCCGAGCATTGATTGGGCGGCGCCATCACTGGCTGCGCCTGAGCGCTGTCCCACGTTGTCATAATGTGATGGTGTGCCAGATGAGATGACAATCGGCTCACCCGATTGCGCAGGTGCATTTGCAGGTGCTTGTGTTGGTGTTGGTGCATTCACCGTTGATTGCTGGCGAGCGGAGTCGCGTTCCGCCGTGAGTGCCGCAATTTCGAGCGCCGAATCTTCGAGTTGGGGCACGAGTCGGTCGAGCTGCTCCTGCGTCAGTGTCGCGAGATTGAATTCGGCCATGGCGGGGGTGTCGGGCGAGCGCAGCGAGAGCCTCAGTCGTGGCCGTGTGTGCTTTCGAGAGAGCATTTCGAGCGGCGGTGCCTGAACGCTGAGAGACGTCTAGCCCAAAAAAAAAAATGAGATAGTGGGGAAGCGAAGGTGTGGGTGCGGTCCGAGAAGAGATCGTAGGCTCTCAATACCAAGTGTTACGAGTGCAATTGAGCGAGCGAGCGATAATAAAGCTATCGAAGCAAAACAATACATCGAGCGAAGGCATGAGCGAAGAATATATAGCGAAACTAGAGTGGTAACGGTAATGTGTGAAAATGGGGTGCGCTACGGGCCTAGCGCCGAGGCTGGGAATTGTCGAGGCGGAGGTCTGGAGCGCGGGTTACCAACCGAACCGTGAGGTTGGGTCGTGTCGTGAACAGTGACGGGAACAGTGGTCGAGGCGAGTGTCGCAAGTGGTAATGGTGCACTGTTGAGAGTTGTTGGCGGGAACAGTGGTGTACACGAAGTAAGGAAAAGGAATTTTCCCTACAGTGTTGCACATAACTCTTCCAACAAAACATACGGTACCTACAACTTTACTAGCATTGATTCTAAAAATAGTCTTCATCCTCATCAATTTCCTCCTCTTTGGCCTTCCTTTTACCCCCATAACCCGTGCTCTGGATCCCCACTGCCTTCAATGCATCTCGTAATCCCTCGCATTTCACCACCTCACATCCGCTGGGTGCTGCTTGCCCCTTCCACTGCTTCGCTGGGACAATACAGCGAGAAAAGCCAAGCTTCGCCACCTCGTTCACCCGTCGATCTAGCTGAGACACCTGGCAGATGACAGCGTGCAGGAGGTGTAGAGACTTAGCACAAAAAATTTGGCCGTTTCCACAAGATACAGGAGAATGAATGTTGAAAAACATGGGAGAAATAGTGTAGTGTACTGTGCTTGCCCAGTGTCCCCCATACATCTCACCCCTCTCAGCTCCCCGTTGAGACCAATCTCGCCAATGAAGGCCATGTCTGCTGGCACTGGGCTCTCGTATAGACTGGCGGGTAGTGAGTTGATAGGGAGAAGGGAGATGATGGGAGGATGAAGGGGGGAATGAGATGATCGAGGTTTGGAGGAAGGGAGGGATGAAGGCTGCTGGCGCTGGGCCCTGGTACAGACTGGCAGGTGGAGAGTGACAGGGAGGAGGGAGATGATGGGGGAATGGAGAAAGGGGGATGATGGATGAAGGATGATGCAAATATGGAGGCATGGGAGAAATGCAGAGAGGTAAATTGAAACAGGTGAGAAGCAGGTGAGCAGGGAATCATGCACAGAAGCAGACGTTGCCAAGCACAGAACACAGAGGGACAGAGGCACAGAGGCACTCAAGTTCAATAAAAACTAGTATATGATGCCAGGCAGGAGAAGAGAGAAACACACCTGCTGGCGATGGCAACAGCAATTGCAAGGTCAGCAGCGGGCTCCTTGACCTGCATGCCCCCCACCACGTTCACCACTACATCCTGGTAGGGGCAATAGGGTAACCGCAGGGATGGGGTAAACAGGTAATGGGTTAACAGGGTAACAAGTTAACACTCAGAGTGCGGGGTGTCTTGACCAAAGCAGCAAGCTTCTTCACCTGCATGCCCCCCACCATGTCCACCACTACGTCCTGGTAGGGGCAATAGGGTAACTGCAGGGGGGGGGTAACAGGGTAAAAGGGTAATGGGTTAACAGGGTAGCAGATTTACAGGCAGAGTGTGGGGTGCCTTGAGCACAGCAGCAGGTTTCTTGACCTGCATGCCCCCCACCACAACATTCACCACCATGTCCTGCCAGGGCCGATGAGGAAACCACAGGGCCAATACAGCGCACGATTTAGGTGAGGATGGCGAGGATGGTGAGGCAAGAGGCATGGGTAGATGGGGATAAGAAGACTATTTAATGTAGTGCAGGTGCACTCACACCCGAGAGCCGATGGGCAGGCCGATGTGGCGCATGACATTGTATGCATTCCTGGCAAACAACTGTGGTATATCAGATGTGGATGTGCCAGTTAGTGGTAGTCAATTCTCAAAGCAAACCATATCTAATTTCACATTTCCAAAGTGAGGATGGTGAGGCGAGGGGCATGGCTGGGATGAGTAGGGAACTAGTCGGTGCCCGTGTGACGGAAAGGAGATGGTTAATTACCCGGGAGCCGATGGGCAGGGCGACGTGGCGCATGATCTTGGTGAGGATGGTGAGGCGATTGGCAAGGGCAGGAGGTGCAGGTTAGCAAGTGGGAAGATGAAGCGGCATACAAACTCAACCACGGATATGCAGGGAAAGGAGATGGTTACCTTAGAGCCGATGGGCAGGCCGACGTGGCGCATGATCTTGGTGAGGATGGTGAGTCGATACATATCCACCCCGTTGGCTGTCTTGGTGGGCGGTATGTTGGGGATGGCCTTCACACACAGAGCCTGTTGTTGGAGTCAACGAGAAGGAACGACAGAGAAAGAAAGAGAGAGGATGTTGGGGGAAGAGCGAAAGAACAGAGTGTTGGTGAGGGCGATGCAGGGGATGGCCTTCACACTTAGCGCCTGGTGAGGGGAAGGCAGGAGGGGAAGAGGACGAGGAAAGGCGACATGAGGGCATGAGTCAGGCGCGGGGAGTCAGGCGCGGGGAGTCAGGCGCGGGGAGTCAGGCGCGGGGAGTCAGGCGCGGGGAGTCAGGCGCGGGGAGTCAGGCGCGGGGAGTCAGGCGCGGGGAGTCAGGCGCGGGGAGTCAGGCGCGGGGAGTCAGGCGCGGGGAGTCAGGCGCGGGGAGTCAGGCGCGGGGAGTCAGGCGCGGGGAGTCAGGCGCGGGGAGTCAGGCGCGGGGAGTCAGGCGCGGGGAGTCAGGCGCGGGGAGTCAGGCGCGGGGAGACAGGCGCGGGGAGTCAGGCGCGGGGAGTCAGGCGCGGGGAGTCAGGCGCGGGGAGTCAGGCGCGGGGAGTCAGGCGCGGGGAGTCAGGCGCGGGGAGTCAGGCGCGGGGAGTCAGGCGCGGGGAGTCAGGCGCGGGGAGTCAGGCGCGGGGAGTCAGGCGCGGGGAGTCAGGCGCGGGGAGTCAGGCGCGGGGAGTCAGGCGCGGGGAGACAGGCGCGGGGAGTCAGGCGCGGGGAGTCAGGCGCGGGGAGTCAGGCGCGGGGAGTCAGGCGCGGGGAGTCAGGCGCGGGGAGTCAGGCGCGGGGAGTCAGGCGCGGGGAGTCAGGCGCGGGGAGACAGGCGCGGGGAGTCAGGCGCGGGGAGTCAGGCGCGGGGAGTCAGGCGCGGGGAGTCAGGCGCGGGGAGTCAGGCGCGGGGAGACAGGCGCGGGGAGTCAGGCGCGGGGAGTCAGGCGCGGGGAGTCAGGCGCGGGGAGTCAGGCGCGGGGAGTCAGGCGCGGGGAGTCAGGCGCGGGGAGTCAGGCGCGGGGAGTCAGGCGCGGGGAGACAGGCGCGGGGAGTCAGGCGCGGGGAGTCAGGCGCGGGGAGTCAGGCGCGGGGAGTCAGGCGCGGGGAGACAGGCGCGGGGAGTCAGGCGCGGGGAGTCAGGCGCGGGGAGACAGGCGCGGGGAGTCAGGCGCGGGGAGTCAGGCGCGGGGAGTCAGGCGCGGGGAGTCAGGCGCGGGGAGTCAGGCGCGGGGAGTCAGGCGCGGGGAGACAGGCGCGGGGAGTCAGGCGCGGGGAGTCAGGCGCGGGGAGTCAGGCGCGGGGAGTCAGGCGCGGGGAGTCAGGCGCGGGGAGTCAGGCGCGGGGAGTCAGGCGCGGGGAGTCAGGCGCGGGGAGTCAGGCGCGGGGAGTCAGGCGCGGGGAGTCAGGCGCGGGGAGTCAGGCGCGGGGAGTCAGGCGCGGGGAGTCAGGCGCGGGGAGTCAGGCGCGGGGAGTCAGGCGCGGGGAGTCAGGCGCGGGGAGTCAGGCGCGGGGAGACAGGCGCGGGGAGTCAGGCGCGGGGAGTCAGGCGCGGGGAGACAGGCGCGGGGAGTCAGGCGCGGGGAGTCAGGCGCGGGGAGTCAGGCGCGGGGAGTCAGGCGCGGGGAGACAGGCGCGGGGAGTCAGGCGCGGGGAGTCAGGCGCGGGGAGACAGGCGCGGGGAGTCAGGCGCGGGGAGTCAGGCGCGGGGAGTCAGGCGCGGGGAGACAGGCGCGGGGAGTCAGGCGCGGGGAGTCAGGCGCGGGGAGACAGGCGCGGGGAGTCAGGCGCGGGGAGTCAGGCGCGGGGAGTCAGGCGCGGGGAGTCAGGCGCGGGGAGTCAGGCGCGGGGAGTCAGGCGCGGGGAGACAGGCGCGGGGAGTCAGGCGCGGGGAGTCAGGCGCGGGGAGACAGGCGCGGGGAGTCAGGCGCGGGGAGTCAGGCGCGGGGAGTCAGGCGCGGGGAGTCAGGCGCGGGGAGTCAGGCGCGGGGAGTCAGGCGCGGGGAGTCAGGCGCGGGGAGTCAGGCGCGGGGAGTCAGGCGCGGGGAGTCAGGCGCGGGGAGTCAGGCGCGGGGAGACAGGCGCGGGGAGTCAGGCGCGGGGAGTCAGGCGCGGGGAGACAGGCGCGGGGAGTCAGGCGCGGGGAGTCAGGCGCGGGGAGTCAGGCGCGGGGAGTCAGGCGCGGGGAGTCAGGCGCGGGGAGTCAGGCGCGGGGAGTCAGGCGCGGGGAGTCAGGCGCGGGGAGACAGGCGCGGGGAGTCAGGCGCGGGGAGTCAGGCGCGGGGAGACAGGCGCGGGGAGTCAGGCGCGGGGAGTCAGGCGCGGGGAGACAGGCGCGGGGAGTCAGGCGCGGGGAGTCAGGCGCGGGGAGTCAGGCGCGGGGAGTCAGGCGCGGGGAGACAGGCGCGGGGAGTCAGGCGCGGGGAGTCAGGCGCGGGGAGACAGGCGCGGGGAGTCAGGCGCGGGGAGTCAGGCGCGGGGAGTCAGGCGCGGGGAGTCAGGCGCGGGGAGTCAGGCGCGGGGAGTCAGGCGCGGGGAGTCAGGCGCGGGGAGTCAGGCGCGGGGAGTCAGGCGCGGGGAGTCAGGCGCGGGGAGACAGGCGCGGGGAGTCAGGCGCGGGGAGTCAGGCGCGGGGAGACAGGCGCGGATGCTACCGTTTGTTGCTTGGTCAGCTATAGAGTTCATCATCACACCTGGACTTCGTCAGCCACATGCTATGGTGGTGTGGTGTGGAGTGGTGTGGTGTGGAGTGGTGTGGTGTGGTGTGGTGTGGTGTGGAGTGGTGTAGACTAAGACCGGGAGGGACTAGACAGGCTAGCAAAAAAACCCTGTGTTCAATTGACTAATAAATTGCTAGTTATATTCCAGCGTCTGTGGTGCGTGCATGACTGCACATCAGATCCGCCTAACTTCGGGGTCTTGGCTACCCTGCCTCGCCCTGCCCATGTGACTGACTGCAGCACAGACACCCACCTGATCGTCCAACAGCAGCGGCCTGGCCCCATGCATCACCACGGCCATTGCTGCACTGCCCTCACTCCTGCAGCCACACAATGATATACACACACCACCCACAGCCACCCACCTGCACCTCCAGCAGCAGCGGCCTGGCCCCATGCATCACCACAGCCATGGCGGCACTGCCACTGCTGCAGCACTCTACCGTGTATCACCATAACATCAACACAACCCAACCACCCACCTGCACCTCCAATAAGAGTGCTCTGCTGCCTTGCAACACCACAGCCATGGCTGCACTGCCCTCACCCCTACGACAACCTCTATCTCGCCCCGTCAAGTCCACCCCCCTGCACCTCCAACAAGAGCGGTCTGCTGCCATGCATCACCACGGCCACCCACCGCTGCACTGCCCTCACCACTGCACTGCCCTCACCGCTGCACTGCCCTCACTGCTGCACTTCCACTCCCATCCCCATTGTCATGCCATAATATCAATAGAACCACCCACCTGCACCTCCAACAAGAGCGGCCTGCTCCCATGCATCACCACAGCCACTGCTGCACTGCCCCGCGTGCGGCTGGCTGGGAGGAAGGCAAGGCTGGGGTTGGGCACTGCCACCATGCCCTGTGCTGCCATCTCGAACACACCCACCTGATAGAGATGGGGGGGAGGTTGGGGTTTGAGAGACGAGAGGAGGAGGGTGATGGGAGGAGTAGAGGGCACGGCCACCATGCCCTGTGCTGCCATCTCAAACACGCCCACCTGGAAGGGATGGGGGGACAGGGGGAAGGAGGGTAAATAGGGAAGGGGGAAAATAATGGCACTGCCACTGCCAACATGCCGTGCGCTGCCATCTGAAACACACCCACCTGGGAGTAAGGATAGGGGGATGGTGATGGTACGAAAAAAAAGAGCCAACAGGAGGTAGGCGAGGCTGGGGGGTTTGTTGGACACGGCCACCATGCCCTGTGCTGCCATCTCGAACACACCCACCTGATAGAGATGGGGGGGAGGTTGGGGTTTGAGAGACGAGAGGAGGAGGGTGATGGGAGGAGTAGAGGGCACGGCCACCATGCCCTGTGCTGCCATCTCAAACACGCCCACCTGGAAGGGATGGGGGGACAGGGGGAAGGAGGGTAAATAGGGGAGGGGGAAAATAATGGCACTGCCACTGCCAACATGCCGTGCGCTGCCATCTGAAACACACCCACCTGGGAGTAAGGATAGGGGGATGGTGATGGTACGAAAAAAAAGAGCCAACAGGAGGTAGGCGAGGCTGGGGGGTTTGTTGGACACGGCCACCATGCCCTGTGCTGCCATCTCGAACACACACACTTCGTGGGAGTAGGGATAGGGGGATTGGGGGTGATGGGAGGGGGAGGGGGGTGTGACGGTAGTAGCTAGAGGGGACCAACCAGCCACTCGAGTGAATGGAAGGAAGGGACAGAACGGAGTGACTGCCTTGCAATGAGATTATAGGCATGCCTTCATGGCGCACCTATTACCCTAGAACGCCTGATGAATGCCTGATGAATGAAAGCATTGTATGAGGAGGTGAATGTTCATACACCTGTGAATGTTCAAACAGTGCGCCAAGTTTGGCAAACTGCCATCCTGAGTGTCTACGAGAAGCTCTACGAGGCTTTGGATAGGATGCGTGATAGGTTCAACTAGGATGGGTAATTGTTCAGGTGGAATGGGTGATGCTTCACCTCCAAACACTCACCTCCAAACACTGACCTCCACACACTCACCTCCACTCACTCCCCTCCACACACTCACTCCCCTCCACACACGCTCATTCACCTCATCAGTGGAGCCGATTCGGTTTTTGCTGGTGCAGAGGATGCGGTAGCTCTCCTGCCTTTCGCTCTGGCATGAGGTTATCGTGACCTCCCTCACTCACTCCCCTCCACACCCTCAATCACCTCCACACCCTTCTCTCCATCCCTCCACCACACCTACCTCATCGGTGGAACCAAATCGGTTCTTGCTGGTGCTGAGGATGCGGTGGCTGTCCTGCCTGTCGCTCTGGTGGATCGCGAGGGAAGATAGATAGAGAGGGTGAGGGTGAGGGTGAGGGTGAGGGTGAGGGTGAGGGTGAGGGTGAGGGTGAGGGTGAGGGTGAGGGTGAGGGTGAGGGTGAGAGTGAGGGTGAGGGTGAGGGTGAGGGTGAGGGTGAGGGTGAGGGTGAGAGTGAGGGTGAGGGTGAGAGTGAGGGTGAGAGTGAGGGTGAGAGTGAGAGTGAGGGTGAGAGCGAGGGTGAGGGTGAGAGCGAGGGTGAGGGTGCAGGTGAACGAGGGGAAAAGGAGGAAGAAGTGGGAGCAGACGGGAAAGAAAACGTGGGACAAGAGGGGCAGGCAGGCGAAGGTGCAATGTGCGCATCACTCACATCGATGAAATGAGCACATCTCAGTCACCCCCACGTGCATCACTCACCCCCACGTGCATCGCCACATCCATCCACTGTGTGCTTCAGATACCTCTGCCCCAACACGCCCGTCCCCCTTGACACTTCGCATCTAGCTTTGACGTTACTCCCTATCAGCGTTACTCATACCTGTTACAGTCACACTCACTCACTCCCACTCACCTCCACGTGCACCACCACATCCACTATGTGCCTCAGGCCCCTCAACACTACCATACCGTTTCTTCTGACAAGTGGCACCTAGTTTTGACGTCACTTCCTACGTACCAATGTCACACCCAATAGTTACAGAGTAACAGTCACAACAAGCACTCACCCCCACCTGCATCACCACGTCCGCTATGTGCTTCAGATCCCTCGGCATTGACACACCCTTCCCTAGACAACTCAACACCTAGCTTTGCGCCACTGGCTACTGGCTACTAGTGTCCCACCTGTTATAGTCACACTCACTAACAACCACTCACCTCCACGTGCATCACCACATCCACTATGTGCTTCAGGTCCCTCGGGCCTGCCACATCCCCCGCTTTAGTCACATGGCCCACCTGTAAGGGGGGTCAAGGGGCGGAGGAGCAACTGAAGCAACTGACTTTTTTGTCAACTGGAAACCGAGGTTACTTCTCAGTCGACCCAGAAACCCACCTGCAAGGGGGAAGTCAAGAAGTGGAGCAAGTGCCTATAGACTATAGATGCATGGGATTGACTTTGACAATCTGGTTTAGAAGATTCGCTACTAGAACCACATGCCTGGTGTGCACTAGCAGACAAAGGGACTGGGCAAGGTGAGTGTAGACGTGTCTTGGAAACGTTTCAAAATGCCCCTGGCTTCGCTTTACTCACAATAGGCATGAGCAAAGGGCGAACTCGAACATGTTCGAGTTCGCCCACCCTCGAACATGTACTTTTGCCGAACCGAACAGTGTTCGGTTCGGCGAACTATTTAGCTGAAAAAATATGTTCGCCGTTCGCCCTAGGTGGCGAACGATTTTTTTCAGCAGGCGAACACGAACATGTTCGAGACGAACATGTTCGTGTTCGCCCAGGGGAAAATTCACTATAGTCACACATGTCAGAAAACAGTTTTCAAGGTCCAGGATGATAGCAAAATGTGTGCAAGGTGTATATGTGTGCATGCAACGAACCCAATAGTACAACATAACATACTGTGAAGGGAAATGTCAAAGTCTAACAAATTCCTACACTAAGGCGCCACTGCTACTACCAACAACAGCATCCTCTGCTGCAGCTGTGTCGTCAGCCTCCACACCCTCCTCCTCCTCCTCCTCGTCATCCTCCTCTGCCCCCTCGCCCTCAATGGCGAACTCTGGTGGTGCGACGCCTCTCGGTCGGCGGCCCTCGCCAATCCTCTGGCCAGGGTGTGAACTGTACCATGATCTGAGAATCATGACAGCTCGCGTCCTCTGAGAGGCCAGGCGGTGCCGCTTCCAGGAAATGAGGTTGCGACCAAGGGAGAACACCCGCTCACTCGAAGCGGACGTGGCAGGGATGGCGAGATAATCCCGGGCCATGCGCCTCAGCGTCTGCATGTTGGTGGCACTGCGCCAGTACTCTAGCGCTGTCACGTCGCACCGCACCCTCTCGGACAAGTACCTGCTAAGCTCGTCATCCTGCACCATCCCACCCGCCCCCGCCTCCTGGCTCGCCGACAGACGCGCCGCAAGTCGTCGGCGACTAGGAAGAAACTGCGCGTCATCGTCGTCCTCCTCCTCGTCTCCGTCCTCCTCCTCCGCAACGGGGGCAAGTGGGGTCGGCCGTGGAGCAAGCTCTGCAGCCCGGGCCTGGTACTCGGCCACGCGGTCGCGCACCAGCTTGATCACCTCGCCCGACGCCGGACGCGGCCTCACCCTCTTGTCGGTCTTGGGATGCAGCTTCTCCCAGTGCGCGTCGTCGAACCACGCCGCCTTCATGGATGGGTCCAAGAAGGTGGCGATCCAGTACTCGTTGCTGGTGATGTACGCGTACTTCTTCAAGTGGCTCAGCGCCGCCACGATCATCTGCTGCAGCGTCGGAGATGGCCCCTTGGCAAGGCGCGACTCCATGGCGTCGATCAGGCCGTTGTAGTACGGCACCACCATCGACACAGTCGGGTACGCCGCCCCCTCTGCTGCCTTGGAGACCTTGGCGAAGGGGCTTAGGAATGTCTTCACCGCCTGCAGGGTCTCCCATTCTGCGTCTGTCAGGCGCAAACTCTCCACCTTCTTCTTGTCGGTCTTCGACAAGCCCTGTCGGGTAGAGGGAATGGTTTGAGGGGAGGTATGAGGGAAAGAAAACTGTGATTATGGAGGAGGATTATGGCATCCGGCCGGCAACATACAAGCATGACCAACAATATTGTGTAGACGTGCTAACACACCACACCCACACAAAACACAAGTGTTACCTGTGTCTGGGCGAAGAAGACAGTGATGGGGTTCTGCAGAACACCCGCACGCTCGACCATGTCGTGGGTCGACCCCCAGCGCGTAGGACTGTCCTGCACCAGCTTCAACGCCGGCTTCGGCGTGGCGGGGTTGGCCTGCGAGTTCAAGGTCCGCTGTAGGCCCAAGAAAGACCCCGAGCGCTGTGGAGAGAAGCCAATCCACGACGCCATCTCTCTCAGTATCTTCAGCAACTTCCGTATGGAATCCACAGCCAGTGCTGCCTGCACTGCAAGGTTGATCACGTGTGCCAAGCACCTGCGCACGGAACAAAACATTAGGGAAAGAGATAAGGGGAAGTTGGAGGACACATGGTTAGAGCGAGCCACAAAACCAACAAAGGCAAACACACGCCCACAAAGGCAAACACACGCCCGCACTCCCGCACGCCCAACCCACGCACACTCCCACACTCACCGGAAGTGCATGCGCGAGCTAAAGAAGCACTGACCACCACCCTCCTCCGACATCCGCCTGAAGGCGGCAATGTTGCTAGAGGCGTTGTCTGTCGTGAAACCAAGACAACGCCCCTCCAACCCCCACTGCACAATCGTCTCCTCAACCACCTGCGCCATCTCCCTGCCCCCATACCGCCCGAGCATCTCACGAAACTCAAGCACCATTGTGCGCAGCTGGAAGTTCTCGTCTATCCAGTGACCTGTCACCACTAGCCATGCCTTGTTGTTGGGTGCCGTCCACATGTCGATGGTGATCGACACCTTGCACCCCAACTCCCCCTCCTTCGCCAGCATCTCCGCAATGGCGGACAAGAGAGCTGCTGTTGCATAAACCACAGTGTCGCGGGATACCGTCCACCGTGTTATAGTCACAATAGGCTTGAATGTGCCTAAAACGAAAGATAGAGAGCACAGACGGATTTCTGCACAGCGGCTTCAAACGTTGATAGCGTTCTGCTCACAGCTGCAAATGACTTGATTCAAATTGGATCTGGAGCGTCTTCACGTCTTCTACAATTAGCAATTTAGATTGCACGATTTGATAAAGAATTGACGACACAGCGTCGGTTTGAACGAACGGTACTATGGCAGCCACTATAGTCTTAGAACACAAGATAGGAAGAGTTACGAGTTGGGAATGACTCCCAGCTCCTACAAACCCCAAGAGCCGAGTTACAGTGATGTGGAACAGTGCCACACTGTCCCCAACCACGAAGGGTCTCGAAACTACCCTTCACTAGGGCCTACACCAAGTGAAATGTTACACTACACAAAGTAATGTAACTATCTTCAATATCTTGAGGTGTACCCTTTTGGCGAGCTTCGAAATCACTTGAGGCTTGACACCAAGGCTCGGGCTCTTCATCACAAACTCATCCTTGAGTTCTTGATGGGTCTGCTGCACACACCTGCGACACGCCGAACGTTCGACACAGGACAAAATAGAAACCGCGCACGACAAAATAGAAACCGCGCGCGAGACACAAACGACCGCGTAACACGCGTCTAGCGATAACTCGCTATTGACTCGACACACACACTCGACATCATGACTCAACATTCACACACAATTATAAGCATGAAATATATATTATCCCATGCCCTCATACCATTCCATACACACACACATTCACGCACACGGACAACAAGCCGAGTGCAAACCGTAGGGTTGCACCAACAAACTCCCCCTCGGATTGTTGGCCTTAGGATATGTTGCTCTCTCAGTTCAGAGCCATCCCAGCCAGCTTGCAACACTTCCAATGCTGCTGCTCCACCAGCCTCTTGGTCATCATGTCAGCCGGCTGCCCCGTGGTCTTCACGTAGCGCAACTCAACTTCACCCGCGGTTACCATGCTCCTCGTCCAATGCCACTTCACCCTCATGTGCTTCGTGAGTCCATGCAACACAGGGTTCTTAGCAAGAGCAATGGCACCCTGGCTGTCACAGTACAGTGGGGTAGGTCCTTGCTGCTCCTCCCCCAATTCAGCCAACAAACGCCGCTGCCACACAATCTCCCGTACGGCACGGAAGAGTGCCATGTACTCGGACTCCACCGAGCTCAAAGCTTGGTCAACCTGCTTCTTGCTCTCCCAAGCAGTTGGGCCTCCACCAACACAGCATATGAAGCCTCCCACACTTGTCATGTCCTCTGGTTCTGATGCATATGAAGCATCCGAGTAGGCGGTGAGGAACAAACGCCCGGGTTCAACACCATCCGCGCCCTTTTGGCGCCTTTGTGCCGCCGCCGAGTATTGCAGCCCAACGGTCGGTGTTTGGCCAAGATACTTGGCCACCCTCATTCCAGCTGCTACCTGCTCCTCATTAGGGCATTGCACAACCCTAGCCAGCTGCCCGGTAGCAAACGCGACGTCCGGTCGGGTGTTTACCGCCGCATACATGAGGCTGCCCACCAACGAGTGAAATCGGCGCCTCTCCTCTTCACCAACGCTCTCCTCCTCTGGTCCCTTCACACACTTGAACCCAGAGGGAAAGGGTGTAGCCACATGGCCTTCACTCTGCCCAAAGTTGGCAGCCAATTCCTCCAGGTACTTTCGTTGATGCACCCGCATGCACCGCTTCTCCACATCTCGTTCGATGTGGAGCCCAAGGTAGAAGCTCACGTCACCAAGGGCCTTGCACTTGAACTTGTCTTGAAGCTTCAGCATCACCTCCTTCACAAGGTCAGAAGAGGGTGAGAAAATGAGGATGTCATCCACATAAACCACCATGAAACTCCTCTGCTCCCCCTCGCCAAGCATGAACAAGGAGTGATCGGCCGTTGAGGGAGTGAAGCCGATCTCCTCCAAAACTCCTCGCAGCTTCAAGTACCACTGCCTAGGGGCCTGCTTCAGTCCATAAAGGGCCTTCTTCAGCCTCAAAACTCTGCCACTACCATCATCAAACCCCTCTGGCTGCGCCATGAAAATCTCCTCCTCAAGGATGCCGTTAAGGAATGCCGTTACGATGTCCATTTGCTTTACTACCCATCCTTTGATGGCGGCTCCCGCGAATAGGGTTCGCAGCGTCGTCGGCTTCACCACAGGGGCAAACAGCTCCTTGAAGTCCACCTTCTCCTTCTGCTGGTACCCCTTGGCTACAAGACTAGACTTGTAGCGCTCGATCTTGCCGTCGGCATCCGACTTGATTTTGAAGAGCCACTTGGACGTTATCGCCGTACGCCCCTCCGGTAGCTCCACCAATTCAAACGTGTCATTCTCCTCGATGCTCTTCAGCTCACTCTCCATGGCCTTCTTCCACTCCTCAGCATCACTACTCTCCAAAGCCTCCTTGAGAGTTGCTGGTTCTCCCGGCCTCTCCACCGGAGAGAAGAACGCGAAGGCACACTCCTCGTAGTCACTCTCCTCGTCGTCTCCGACCATCATTGCCGCTCCGGCTTGGGCTGTCTTGCCCTGCTTTCTCGGCGCATCATAGCCTATTAGGGGGTTGAACTCTCTTCTTCCCCCTTCCTTCCTCCTCAGCTGCAGGGACTTGAAGGCCTTGGCGTTGCTGCGGTGTGGCTCGAATCCGTGGAGCACTCGTAGTACGGGAAGGGAGTGACGGTGCACGCTCGCTCACTTGCTGCACCTCCTCCTCTTCTTCCTCTGCATCATTGGCCTCCTCTCCCCCATTCACAAGGGAGGATTGCCTTGTGGTTGTGCTGCCGCTGCTCAGCTCCAAAGGCAGCTCCACATGCTCCAAACCGGAACTCTTCACCTCCCCAAACCGCACGCCTATCTTCGCCTCATTCTCCGCCTTCCAATCCTTGTACATGAAGTTCTCCATGAACTTGCAGTCCCTGCTCACCAAGAACTTTTTGGTGAATGGGTCCCAAAGAAGCCATCCCTTGCTGTTTTGAGCCATGCCCAAGTGCACGGCCCACACCGCCTTGGCACCAAGCTTGTTGTGCCGAAGATGCTTAGGCACGAGCGCCATGCACATGCACCCGAACACCCGAAGCATATCCACCTTTGGTTTCCTTCCTAGCCACTCCACATAGGGCACCCATTTGTCTGCTCCCACATGAGTGAAGGCTCTGTTCTTGGCCACACACGCGCTCCGCACCGCATCAGGCCAGAAATAGTCGGGTAGCCCGGCTTCAATGAGCAACCCGCGTGCCGCCTCCGTGATTGTGCGGTTCGCTCGCTCGGCGATGCCGTTCATTGCAGGGGAGTATGGCATGGTGAGGGAGTGCCGAATACCATTCTTCTTCAGCCACAACCCAAACTCCTTGCTCAGGAACTCTCCCCCTCGATCGGTGCGGATTGACTTGACTAGACGGTCTTGTTGCCGCTCCACCATCGGGAACCAATCCGTCTTCAACGTTTCAGCCACGTCGCTTTTCTTGGCCAGCACGTACACCCAAGTCATGCGGGTGTAGACGTCGACAATGGTGAGAAAATACTCAGCTCCAGCAGCTCCAAGCTTCAGGGGGCCCACCACGTCCATCACCACTTCATCAAGCGGTGGCTTTGCCGTTGCCTCCGAACTAGGGAACGGAAATCGGGTGAACTTGGCTTGAATGCACGTCGGGCAGCCAAGCACCTCATCGGGCTCCCCCTTCACACGTATGCCAGCAACCATCTCATTCTTCACTAGCTGCTGCAAGATGGGCAGGGCCACATGCCCCATGCGCCGATGCAAGGTGAGCCAATCACACTCCCCCGTAGCCGAAGTTGGATTGGAGAATGCCGCGCTCGCAATAGCGCCCCACATACTTTCTCCGTAGTCCTCCTCCGCTTCTGCCTCTGGGTTCTCCTCACCCTTTTGCTGCCCCTTGGTTGCTGCACCACTCTCCTTAGGTTCACTGAACTTGCTGGTCCCTCCAGGTTTGCTATTTTTGAGCTCATTCTCCTTAGCGCGACCGTTCGCGCCATCGTCGCTACCGACCGCTCCATCCTTGGTGCTGATGCTTGCTGCCACTTGCCTCTCCTTAGGCATAGGGACCACTGGGATCTGCCACATCTCGTTGTAGACATCCCTGTCCTCATGAAGGTCCCAAAGAATTCGATCGCCAAGCCTTGCGGTGTAGGTCTTGGCTCCCTTCGAGTTCGTGTCCATGCCGGCCTTTGCCAACCGCCGCACGGAAATCAGGTTTGCAGCAAGGCTGGGCACCCAAAGCACGTTCTTGAGGCCCACCATCTTCCCATCAGCACCCTTGAACATGGCCTTGCCCATGCCTTTCACCTCTGCTCGCTGCCCCAAAGCCGATGTGACATGCTTCACCGGTGACGGCTCGAGTTCGGTGAGCAAGTCCGGGCGAGGTGTCATGCTATAGGTAGCGCCACTATCAATCACCCAATAGTCCAGGGGGTGTAGGGTCACCTTCCCCACAGCTGCTGGCTCCTCAAAGCCTTCATCCTTCTCTGGACCAGCCGGTACTTGCGTCGACACGAAGTAGACTAGACCCGGGTATCGATCGTCGCTCGGGTCCTTGTCGTTGTCTCCGCTCTTCATGTTTGCAGCTCCGCCACCGCGACCGCCACGGCCTCCACGGCCTCGTCCTCTCCCTCCTCCTGCTCCTCTACCCTCTTGGCCTTGAGCAGGGGTCCAACCATCAGGGAGTTTGTAGCAGTCGCGCCACATGTGTCCGCTCTTGTGGCAATAGTGACACTCGCCGTCGAATCGGCCGCGACCGCGTCCGTAGCTCTTGTCGTCGCTGCCGTAACCGCCACTCCTGCGGCCTCCGCCGAAGTTGCTGCCACCAAACCTTCCTCCCCCTCGTCCTCTGCCTCTTCCTCGACCATATCCACGGCCGATGCTCGCTGCCCCAGCGCCATCCGCACTCGCCAACTCAC